ACACACACACACACACACACACACACACACACACACACACACACACACAATGAAACGTTTTAGGCCAAAAATCAACAAATAATTTTCGTATTTAGGTAAAACTACAAAACAAGACTTAAAAATCAAACAGATAAAAAAATTACATTAAAATAACTCTGAGAATCAGTCCTGTTAGGAGAAAAATGAGGTTGTGGCAGAAGACAGTTTATATTTTACTGGTTTTGAAGGAGGGGAGGAAGCTGTTTGGATTGGAGAGAACTGTGATTAAAGTTTCCACTAATAAATACTCTCTGACCCACAGAATCACAAAAATAAAGATGTCACACCGAACATCTGTGTCCAGAAACAGAGCTGGAAGTACTGAATATAATATTACTCTCTGTAAAATCAATATTTACTCTTTTTTTTTACTTTATTTCCCACAGCTTGCAGTGGATTATGTACAGAAAAGTACCCAAAACAGACAATCAGTTCAAAAATATGTTTGGAAAATTTCAAATTTGTGGATGTAAATAAATTGTCCAGCCTTTTTTAAAGTTTTATTCTTGCAAATATTTTTTAGTTCAAGTCTCACCAATGATAAAGTAACTAAACTTTCTGTTGGTTTAATCAGGCTAACTTTACATTTGTGTTTATTAGTAATTTTCCAGAAAAAATAACTAATAGTAACTTTAATAATAATAATAATTCAGTTTTTAAGCCTGGGGCTCTTCACAGATCTAAATACTTATTAAAGTTTATTAAATTCTCTGACTAGTATTTTATGATTTTCTGCAGAGTAAAAATACTTTTAATCAACAAAGATGAGAAATGTAAAACAAAAAAAAGATCCCTCCAAATTTTGTCATTTATTTATTAGTTTAGCTTCAAATGCTAACCTGATTAGCACTGAACATATTGCAGTTACAGCTATTTAGTCAAAGTTATGTTAAACAACCATTTTTCATGCTACTCCGTTCAGATGAGTTAAAACCAAGAAAAGCCCATTAACTCTTGGTTTAATCTGGTGGTCCGGGTCTTTGGTGCCCCCTGAGTGCAGCCAGTGGAACAGATGACCAGTCGGTTTGACAGTTTGGTGCATCACAAGTAAAATTAAAAAGTCAGCTCATCATTAACAAATGTATTTTTATTTTATAAAAACCTTGAAAGTCCATTCAGAAATGTACACTACGAACAAAAATTCTTCAGAATACCATTTTTAAATATTTTTAAATAAGTCTAAACCATCAGTTTTATTACACAAATGATTTAATCACACACAAAACTTAGAAAATGAAATAAAATTAGAACTAAATTATTCTTTTCACAGACTCAAACACAGACAAAAAGAAATTAAAACCATCACAACTGCTCTGCTGAGCTGCAAAACCAAACCACTGATGCAGTCATCACACAGGGTTACTGTTTATTTATTCTTTAAACAGAAATTATAATTCAAGATCTTCAAGTCAAGATCTATTATAAATGGTTTTAGGTTTGTTTAAAACCAGAAAGTAAAATAATTAACTTCAACCAGGCTGCCTTTGTACAACTGAGGTGTGTGTGTGTGTGTGTGTTCTTGTTTTTATGCTTAATGAGGACGTTGGGCGTTGACCAAAGTCCAACTAATGGGGACCTCCGTCATCATGAGTCCCACCAAGTCCTGATAAAAACTGAAACAGTACATTTAATTTTACTGAACCATTACAATCAAAAGAACTAAGTGATCACCACCATCTAAAAGCAGGTACGTCTTTAATTTACCTGCATTTTCCAGCTGTTCTGACAGAAAAGGACTTTAAAAATTTAATTCTTCATTCTTAAACTTCCTTTCACTGTTTAAAAAATACATTTTACATTATAAAACAAATTCATTATGTATGATACTTCTACTTCTTTAGAAAAATAAAACAGTTTAAGATCTTGAATTGTGTAGTGGAGGACAAATAAAATAAAATAAAAATTAAAATAAATTCTGTTCCAGGTCTGTTTATAACCTGAAAGAAAAAAGGATTATCCATGATCAGAAAGCATCTCTTAATTTGTGTTTGTGATATTCTTGTTTTTTAAGGACCAAACACTGAAAAGACACCTCGGAGCGTCATAGACATTTTTAAAAAGATTTTAATAAATCATAATTTAGTGTCACAGTTAGGATTAGGGTTTTAGTTTTTATAGTTTAGGTTAGGCAGCACCTTTGATCACATTATTGCTGATAATTCAATTCGTTTTATTTATATAGCGCCAAGTCACAACATACGTTGACTCAGGGCACTGTACATGAAAAAAGAACAATCTAAAGCCCTTTATTTCACATCTGATGTTCCACGAGTCAGAGCTGTTCCAACAAACAAGAARGTATGCAACTTAACCAGAGGTAAACATAAATGAGATATTAAACCTGCCCACACCGAACCTCTCAGTCACATACTGTTAACACACTCGAGTCAGAATGGCTCAGTTTGGAGCACTTTCAGTTCTTCTGAGATCGTAGATTCTAAAGTCACGGGTCATACATCGGATTGCTGAAATTTCCTAAAGTGCCGTAATCGCTGCTCTCCACCAGAGGACCATAGGATGGTCGTCTGCAATAAAAAATTAAGAGAAATCAATTTAAATTGTCACAAATACAAAAAATTACATTTTTAAATGGTCATTTTTCAAAATTAGTCTTGGATTTTTTTTCCACGGAAGAAAAATGCAGTAAAATTCTACTTCAATTTTGTACTTTTATGTTTTTGTACAAAATTATACAGAAAATAATTTTCTTGCATCCCTCACTATAAATCTTTTCTTTATTCTGTCTAGATGTTTAATAGTTTTTTCAGTCTGTTGTGTTGTCAACAGTGTYTAAAGATAATCAAAGTTAGCTTTGCTAGCACATAATCTGCTCACTAACTAAAAGCTTTGCTGATGCTAAACTGCTAAACATATAAAGCTAATGCTAAACAGCTAATCACAACATAATTGATTGTATGCACTTATTTTTGTTTTGTACATTTGTAAAATTAAAATGACAAGTTATTAAACACAAATTTTCTTTCCCTAAATGTAATAAATTTTGTTTGTGTAAAAATTTTTAAACATTTTTTTTCTGTGAAACAGGCATTTACCTTGATTAATTAAATTAAGTAAGAAGCAATAAAAATAATTATCTCTTCAGTTGATAGTGTATTCATTGTTAATCCCTGCCTTATAGTTTCTATTTATCCACTTTAGTAATTTCAAATGATTAAATGTCAAACTTCAAAAATTTTAAACACAGACTACAATTTTTTTTGATAAGGGACTATATTTTTAGTTTAATCTTCATTTTCAGTATTTTCTCTAGTGATTAACATCTTAATTGTCCTTTTTAAATATCTCTCTCGATTTCTCTGCCTGTATTTTCATTAGCTATATAAATAATAGACATAAGCAAAAATATTAAACTAGGTACCATTTGGTGTACACCCTGACTTCTAATGACAAACTCTGAATGAGTTTTATAAGAAATAAAACCTAAAGATTGTAATATTTTCTGGTACAATATGTTTTTCAGTTAATTGAACCCTAAATATTATGYGTTAAACACAAATTGAGACTCATGAACACCATGTTTGTTTGTTTAATTTAGCAACTATTTTTTCTTGACTTACTTGTACTTGTAATAATACAGGCCTCCTAAGACCAGGATGACCAACAGGATGAACATACAAACGATAACTGCAACACTTCCTGGAGAGAAAGAAAACAACAGAGACTGTTTTTAACCTTTGTTCATCAAATAAAATGTTGTTTTGGACATTCACAGAACTGTGTAAATATCAAGTTCATCAATGGTTTAATGTTGAAATGACATAAAATCATAGCAGCAAAGCTTAAAGCATCCACGACAGATTCAAAATGTTGACAAAATCCAGATTTTTAAATTGACTATAAAATAAAACTTCCCACTTTTTAATGTTTACTAATTAACAATACCAGAGGAAGCAAATAAAAAGAAGAACTGGGCTGTGTTTTAGTTAAACAAAGATTAGTGTTGTGGCAACAGAGTATCTATTTATTTTATGCAGTTATTTATGATGAAACTAAAAAGACTAAAATAACCAACTTTACTACAAAAATAGTTGTGCTACCCAGTACAAATAAAACCAGCTCAACAAATTGAACCAACACAGATAAATGGTTTGAGACAGTGATGAATAAACATACCCAGGAAATAATAATTTCAGTGTTTTATTGTTTTGCTTTAGAAAGTCAGAGAGAAAAGGGTCACCTGAGTAATCCATGACCTACAGAACACATTATCTCAATCAGATGATTGGTTTGTTCTGTAAAAACAGCCTCAGACGATTAAACAGAGAAACTAACGGTCCTGTCAGGTGAAACTTGCTGTCATTTTTGCAGCAGTGAACTCTGACTTTAAGATAAAGTCTTCTTCTGACAGAATAATCTAAATAAACTTTGAGCTTTGATATAGCTCAATAAAACCTGAAAGAAATACAGTTGTTTACTGGTATTCATACCTGAATTAACACCGAGGCTGTGGGCTCTTTAAGTCTGGCTATGGGCTGCTGTTTGTAAAGTTACACAGTCAAAAATTACAACATATATTTTTGTTTTATTTAGCCTTTTTTTTTAAAGAAAAAAGAACAGATTTATTTTT